GCCCGTACCTGGCGCGCGTTGTTGAGAGTCAGCTTTTCCATGGCACGTAGCTCCTCGCCGCTCGGCTCGGAGCCATCGGACATGCCACTCTGCATCTTCTGCTCGCCACGGGCCGTCTTGCGTAGAGGCTGTGGCGCGCTTCCGTCCGAGGGCCCTCTCGCTCGTCGCCCGTCGGTCGCGACTCTCCAGCTCCGCGCCATCGGGCCCTGCGCGAGTGCGAGCGCGCTCAAGGTGGTCGTTCAGCTCAGTATGCTCTGCGGCGCAGTAGCCGCATACGTATGAATGCTGCTCAATGGGCCGAATAGCAAAGGACGTAGAGCGGGCGGGACAGGTGCGCGGCACTCTCTTGCCCATAGTGAGGCAGCGTCGTAAACATGACGCGCGCGAGGCAAAGGCTGTTCTGCACAGGGACATGCGTTCGTGCAAATGAGCATGGAGTGCATGCTCGTCATGTGGTGGGCATGTGCGACGCGTGCCGTCAGTCCATAAAGTGTCTGAAACGTGCTGCCGCAAGGAGCCTCGTCGTCTTCCTCACGCGCACAGACCCATTCATCGATGACTGTGCTGTGCTCGCTGGTCGCGCCGTCGTGCTCGCGCGCCCCTGTGCGCTGGCCGCCCCCCCCCCCCCCCATCTCCTCCGACGCAATAAATCCAAGTGACCTCTGCGCCCGTAACATTCTAGCTGCGCGCGCGGGGGCAAGGAGGCCCTTGTTCTTGGAGATGTCTACCTTGGAGAAGGTGGGGCCGAGGTTCTGTTGGTAAAAACGCTGAGAACATTCTCACGCTCGTGTCAATCGTCTCCGAGCGTGCTGTCCAACGCTGCCAATGCCAGCAGGTCCTGTTTGCACTGTCGCGCCCACGGGGTGCTGTACTCTGTTAGGCGCCCAAGAGTGAGGCGTGGCCGCCCAAGCTGACGGTCTAGTTCCGCGGTGCCGAAAATGGTCATGAGCACCTCCTTATGATTGCCGGGCTCTCGTGCCATGGCCTGGTACCACCGCGAGCGCTGCGCTCGAAATTATGTGGCTGTGTCACATAACTGCCAATGCCCGAGAACTTGTGCGTTGCTCAGAATACGGGCACGATCTCCGCACTGTTGCCTAGCTCGTTCATGCGTCGCACATCTAAGTAACTTGATGAGCGTTGCGCCCAGCGCTTTGGTAGACTCTGGCGGTAACACGGAGGCCGTCAGTCCCGAGATTGCCGCGCCGTGCACGGAACAAATGAAAAAAAGAGCCCCCAACTGCCCGCGGCGAAGAGGCTGATGCCACACTGCGCCTCAAGATCGCCAAGCTGCTCGAGCCCTTCGGATTCTGTTTTTTAAGTTCGGTTCGCCACGTGCCGTCAAAACTAAGAGCGGGTCCGAGGGCGCGGCATTCTCGGCGCACTTCTCCCTAGAGGAAACGGCCCCCGGCGAGCTCCTTGGCGGTCTGGAACGAGCCGTCGCCGCCCAGGGCGATGAGGGGATTGTCTTGTCTGCGTTCTAATGATGTCCGTTTACTTGTATATGTGCTTCCAGTTTCTCTGTTGCGTGATTCAGGGGCTTGCCATTAGGTGCGCATGCGCGTGCATGCGCTCCCGTTGCGTCATCCGCGAAGAGACCGGCCCCTACGTCCACCTCCGCCCCCCCCCCCACCCCCACCCCGCACCCCCCGCGCGCGCGCGCACGCGCGCGCGCGCACGCACACACGCACGCACGCACGCACGCACGCACGCACGCACGCACGCACGCGCACGCACGCACGCACGCACGCACGCACGCACGCACGCACGCACGCACGCACGCACGCACACACACACACACACACACGCACACGCACACGCACACGCACACGCACACGCACACGCACACGCACAAACGCGCACGCGCGCACACGCACGCGCGCACGCGCGCACACGCGCGCACGCACGCGCCAATGACCGAAGGTCCTCGAAGCCAACTATAGCTAACATCGAATCCAGCTAATTCGTCATTCCAGCATGCAATAGTCGGGGGGCGCGCGTCTACGAAGCCCCCCGCCGCCATGGAGTGCCCCATGGCAGTGCCTGCGTGTGTGTGCGGGGGTCTATCTCGCCGTCGATTCCCGCGGCGCGAATGCTGGCCGCGTCAACTGCCTGGTCTAGAAGCCCGACGTTCTCTGCGCGCCCGTGCCGCGCATGATGCTCTCGCAGCGTTTCCCTCTTAGTGCGCGCGAAAGCGTTCGTACAGCGCGACTAAGTTCCCCATCTCTGCATCTCCACATAGCCGCCGAATGTGGCCAGATGCACCCCCCCCTCCTCCGCCCCCGCATACCTCCGCGGGCGCAATCAGGGAGTGCGGGTCGACGGGGGACTTTGCGGAGGTGACCGAATAGCGACGTGCCGAGCGCGTCGAACCAATGGTGGGCCCTCTGCCCCCGGTTGCCAATCTTGCAAATGTTCTTGGCCTGCGCGAGCGACTGCGAGCGGAGTGACGTGGGCCGTGCGAATCCGACGATCCTAATCACAGCTGGCAAATCATTAGAACGCCTGCTGAACGTCTCTGGCGCGCATGACCCATGCCTTGAGAAACGGCGCACGCGATGACCAATGCACATGCCAAGGGCCTCTGCAAGTATTCCCCAAGAGGGGCCAGCTCGCCGTGTAGGTGACCGACGAAGATGCCCGATCTGCCCCGCCCTGTCGCTGCGAACGAGCTCTCTGAGGTCAGGCCGTTGATGCAGATGCGGGAAAAAAAACTGCGGTCACTGATCCATTCTGCCCAGTTCGCTGCATCCCTCCGCCCTATGGGGGCTTTGGCCAATCCCAGTCCCCCTTCTGTCGTAGTCATCGTCTGTCTGGCTGACGACAAGAACCTCTTTTGGGGGCCCTTGCCCGTGCCGGAGAGCGCGACCCGCATCCTGTGCATCTCTGCCATTTTGCCACCCCGCCACTCCTTCGCGATCTCGTTGGCCAGAGTCATCTTCTCAAATTTCTGCTGTCTGCGAAGCCCTTGCATGCGGCGCGTGATGTTCTTCAACTGATGCTCGATTCTGCCGAATTCGCTGGAGCCCTTGCCCTCGAAAGCTTTGCTGCCTGTGCGATGTAGTTGCTCACGCAAATCGCCGCGCTCTCTAATGAGCTGCATCCTCTGCCCGCGCATCTGCTCGCAATCGATGGTGCTCTTCTCCTGCTGCGAGAAGGGCTCTGTCATGCTTTCGCGCACGCATCCCGATAAAAAGGCCCCAAGCTGCTTGCACGTCGCCAGGGCCCCAAATATCTCCAGTCCTCTTCACTGATATGCTGCGCACGTTCTTCGACGTTCTCAAGGAAACCTCGCCGTCGGTGGCCTCTGGTGTATGCCGCCATCATCGCATCTCTGTTCGCAGGTGGCGCGAAACGGGCCTGATGGGGTCTGCGCGCTCCAATGTCCATCTGCACCAGGACGGGTACGTGATCATATAGATGTGTCGATGCAAACTTTTGCAGCCTCCGCCCCAATCCCTGCAGCGTGTTCAATCTCGTGATACGGGGGACGGCTGACTGACTGCTGCATAATGAGATGGTCCATCTTACTTCTGTGCATCCCCTGGACGAACGCCGCCCCTGATGTCCAGAATGCGCCCGCGACAGCCGCATGATTCTCTTCCAGAAACTCGCGAATCATGATAGAAAGTTTGCCTTCCACTGCGGGTTCGTTGATGCCAACCTCGTTGCTGATGCGCACATACTTCCTGCCCGTGACACCTGTGAGGACCCCAAACGCACAGTTAAAATCTCCAACGATCAATGGTGCACAATTGCTACCCATGCAACCAATCTCATTCTGAATCCAACGAGGCGTTGCTTTCACTACGTTGTGTAGTAGTCGTGCCGCTGACCCTGTCGGTGGCAAGTACACATTAAACACTGCCAGACTCATTTTGCCCGAATGAATTTGACTAAACCCAATCTCCCAGATAGGCCACGAGACTTCGGCGGCACCTGAATGATGGACACGGTGCCTTTGAGCCTCTCGCCGTACAATACTGCTAAGCCACAACTTCGATTCGTAACTCTGCTCTCCCGCCATCCAAACTGAATAGCTTTGTGACGAGAAAGCTGGCATTGTGCGATCTCTGTCTCAATGTAAGCCGCTTTGCTTGTACCAGTGGGAATGACCAAGTCGTTGTTTACTGTGTTCTCGGAAACATCCTCGAAGCGCGCGAAATCCGCGCTATGCACGTTATGAAACATAAGTTCACTATGGGAAACCAACTCAGAGGTAGCGTGCCCATACTCAGACGTAGTGTGCCCATGCACTATCTGGCCCTAGACGACCCAGCCCCGCTGCGCTGCCCTGGGACGTACTGCTCACATGGGGTTCAATGAGCAAATGCGCGGTCGGACCTGAGGCGGGTCGTTGGCCGAGACTTGTTCCTGGAGGAGGAAGAGGAGGAGGAGGAGGAGGAGGAGGAGGAGGAGGAGGAGGAGGAGGAGGAGGAGGAGAGGAGCTACGGGGAGAGGGGTGCGGGGAGAGAAGAAGCAGGAGGTAGGAGGCAGCATGAGCAGGAGCAGGACGAGAAGGGAGAGGAGCGGCCTGCGGTCCGGCCCCGCCACGGAGTTTGTGCCCGCGCCTGCGACACTCGCCGCCCCCTCTCCCCACGAGGGGCCCGCCCGACGGCCCTGGCCGCCCGGGCGCACAGGTGCGCTCCCGGGCGGCTCCCGAAGACCGGGGGGCTCTCGCATTCCCTGCCACCTCAAATCTCGGCGTGGCACTTTTTCAGTCGCGCCGGGCGCTGGCGCGCGGGATTCTGGGCCCAGGGCCCTCCGAGATCGATCCGGCTCGAAACATGACGCAGATTGATATAGGGTCGGGGGTTCGGGTCGTGACGTTTCGCCGTGCTGCACTATTTCGCAACGACGGATCTCAGGGATCCTCTCCCTGCCTCCTGTTGAGCAGGGACCGACCAGGACGCCCAGGCGAGCCAGCACGCTTCGCCACTGCTTGATCCTGTTCTCCTCCTCCTTCCCAGGAGGGGGCGGGGGGGGGCGACGGGGCAAGCCTCCAGGGGGCAGGCGGCCGGGCTCTCCCCGGCCAGCTGGAACCAGGCGTCCGCCAGGGAGACCTTCTGGGAGGCGCCATCAATACAGGCTTCGGAACAAATTAGCGAACACTCATGCCACATGCATCCGTCAACGCCTCCCCCTCCCCCCAATGTTCAAAGTTGGCGGTGGGTCTGATGAGATGCACTTCGACCGCAGTCTCCCCCGCGCGTGCCAACGTTAAGTTTGGGGGTGAGGGGGAGTGTCCAGTAATTGTTTCCCTCTACCGCAGGGGACCAGACAATGACATAAACATACAAACTCGGAGGTCCGCGCGGATTTCTCGGATCGGCGCTGGGGACCCCTGGCGGCGCCACGGCGCCGCCCCTGGCGCGCTCCGCGCGCCAGGGAGGGCCGCGCGCCAGGGAGGGGGGCCCAGCGCGGATCCAAGAAATCCGCGCGGACCTCAGAAGTGTATGTTTATGTCACTTTTCGTTTCCCTAAATCAAAACCCGACCCCACAACCCCTCGATGCTCCTGAGGCGATGGGCCCAGACCCCTTTTGGGCCATGAACACAAGTTCCGACGGAAAACTTGACGCCAATTCCAGCTCTGTGGGGCCTCATCCGGCCTCGGGACAGGTCAAGAAACGACTCAGAATGAGAAGCCGGCCCCGGGGAACGGGTCGAGACTTCGGGAAGCCGATGCCACAAAAAACCAAACATGCTGCCGGGGCTCCGGGGGAGGCGGGAATCGGGTTCGGCCATCGCCACGTGCCCGGCGACTGCCGAGCCCTGCCCCCGTTGCCCATCGAGCCGTCCGAATCGTGGGTCGACGATTATGTTGTTCCCATTCTACTTGAGGACTACATCCCAGAAATAATTTCGAGCACCCGGAAAAATGTCAAAAGAGTGCTGAAACAGTGCCGCAACAGTGTCGGGCGAGTGTCTCCCAGGGCCCGACACGAGAAAACCCTTGGGTTTCGGTACTTTCTTGGGCGCTCGAAATTCTTCCTGGCGGTCAAGGCTAAAGTAGGCTGGAGCATCCTAAGCCGACGAGGGGACGGGCTCGGAGTCCGCCGGGCGAGGCCTGGGACTCCAGCAGGTACTTGGCCAGGACCGCGGCCTCCGGGCGCGGGCTCGGGGCGGAGGCGGGAGCGGGGCGGGGCGCGAGCGAGCGGGCCCTGCGCAGGACGGCGCACGGGCAGGATGAATAGAAGAAGGAGAAGAAGGAGGAGAAGAAGGGGAAGGAGAAGAAGGAGAATGAGAAGGAGAAGAAGCGGCATAAACCTAAACTTTTGGCGCGCCGCGCGGATTTCTGGGATCTGCGCTGGACCCCCCTCCCTGGCGCGCGGAGCGCGCCAGGTGCGGCGCCGGAGGCGCCGCCTGGGGGGTCCAGCGCAGATCCAAGAGATCTGCGCAGCGCGCCAAAAGTTTATAGTTATGCCGTCTCTTTTGTTTCTTCTTCTTCTTCTTCGACGAGTGAAAGAGATCGCCGAGACGCCGAATGGCGGCGCTGGCCAGGACCGCGGCCGCTGGGCGCGGGTTCAGGGCGGAGGCGAGGGCGGGGCGGGGCGCGAGCGACAGAGCGAGCCCTGCGCAGGACGGCGCGTGGGCCTTGAAATCGCTCGGAAGTGCACACCGCCGAGCGATGCCAGGGGGCAGGGTGAACGAGATCGCCGCGACGCCGAATTGCGGCGCTGCCTGGTGTTCTGCGGGCGCTGCCCGCGCTGCTCCCACGCTGGAAGGGGGCGTGCGGAGGCAGAAGAACGAGCACTGCATGGCGCAGGGCTCAAAAACCGTGTTTTCCGTCTTCGGTTTGCTTTCGTTTTCCCTCGTTCTGGATTCGTTCCGCCCTTGCTGCAAAACGAAATCAGAACGAAAACGGTCCACGAGATCGCTAGACCACCGTTTAGGTCGAGCCGTGGCATGGCGATGCTGTTCGCTTGCGGAGGTCCGCGCGGATTTCTTCGGCGGGCGCGCATCCGCCGCCATTCGAGGAACAGCATGGTGGCGGGGCGTACCACAAGCAACTGCACAATTCTGGATGAAAGCGAGATCCTGAAGAAAATACGCACCGTGACGGAAACATCGTCGGCGGCGACTGGGAGAATATTGATGTCAATCCCACCCTTCATCTGGGCGTAGATGGTTTTGAATGCCAGCTCGTGTAAGATTCAGAAACAACTCCTTGTTCCCCTCTGGCGATGGGTGTGCCCCAGCTTCCCCCTAAGGGGTCTGAAAGGGGGGGGAGGGGGGTCACGAGGCGTTGGAGGGTCCAAGATGAGTGTCAAGGCTCCAAGATAGCGCGCAACATGGCCCAATGTGATCTCCAGGATGCCTCTACCAGGCCGCCCAAGAGAGCGCAAGGAGAGGACCAGATCGAACCTCAAGAGGGCCATCATAGGCACCCAAAAAGCACCCCGAGAGAGTCCGATGTAGATCCGACAGGCAACGCTTCGGACTCCAACGGCGGGGCGCTAATCAACTCCTCCCTGAGAGGACGATGAGAAAATGAAGAAAAAAGGTCCTGAGGGAAACGGGTCCTGGACTACGGGGCCTTTCCTCAGAGCCAGTTCGTCATGGCGAGAGACAGCGGATCGGCGCGAGCAGCAACAAACTTCCGACGGGCAAAGAACAAGGCGTGGCAAGGCCGTGCACTCCAGCGTAGAGGCAGAGGCTGCCATGGGGATGGGCGGAGGCGAAGTGAGGCGCAGGCGAAGGCACGATGGCCAAAGACACCCACCAGCCCTCCGGGCGTGGGCGAACACGGGAGGCAACTCTTCCAATGCAGCTCTCCCTTCCCCTTCACGGAAGGGTATTTGTCCCGTCCCCGTCGACATCCCCAGATTCTTGCCGCCGACTGCACTACCCTGCAGAGCTCAGCCACACGATCATTCCATCCCTCACTCTAAGCCCTCGCCCTCCTCGTTACCTTCATTTTCCTTCTCCTAAGGCTCCCAAATCTCCACTGGGGTCCAAACCCACGATCTTTGCGAGCTCCTTCCAGCCGTGACGACGAGCGCCCCCCCGAAGGCCAACTACCGTTGTCCCAACTCGCCGTCCTTGGAACTTCAGCTCCGCCTTGACAGGTGTCTCTCCTCTTCCTTCCACTCCTCCTCCTCCTCCTCCTCCACGTTTCCCCCGCACCACAGCTCGCCGTGGAGGGAGTCACCTCCATGACGAGCTGGTCGGGGCGCGCGAGGAGTCAAGAGCTTTCGCCTCCGAGCGAGGCACGGCCAGGGAGCAAAGGAACACGGCACCACCACCACCACCACCACCAGCGCCCGGAGGATCCAGGGAATGGTTCTCCCAGAGGTCCGCCCTTCCCCCCCCTTCTGTTTGGCAGCGTCCCTCTCGAGGTACCGATGCCGCCACTCTCTGGAGCTCTCACGGGGTGCGTTATAACCAGGATTTCGAGGCGAACCCAGCGGTGGCGACGAGGGCCTCCCAGCAGGCCCAAACAGGGAAAAACGGGCGGAGGGTAGCGGTACGGATGCCTTTCCCCGTTTTGACCGCTGGGGGCCCCGCTGGTGGTGGTGCCGCGCCTCCTCCCCTCCAAGGCCACGGGCGCCCTCCGCGGCGCGGGTGGCGCCTCGCTGCGCAATCTGGGCGCTCGCTCGCGCGCGCTCGCGGGTGAGAGCCCCGCGCGTGGCATCGGCGGGGGGCCTCGCGGCGCTGGAGGGAGGGCGGAGTCTGCCGGGGGTCGGCGGCGAGCCTGGGGGGGAAATGAGAAGGAGAAGGCCTCCTCAGGAAGGCTCGGAAGTCTTCGGGCCTGCGGAGAAGTCTTCGCAGCCTTCCCTGAAGACACAGAAACCAACTTCTCGGAAGGCCGAAGGGCTTCCGAGAAGCCCTGCGGCCTTCTGAGGCCTCTTCGCCTTCTCACTTCCCCCCCTCGCTCGCCGCCGAGGGGGGAAAGATGCCAGCCGCAGGTGGCCGCACCCCGCGGGGTAGGCGGCCAGTCCCCGCGCAGTGTGCCAGCGCCCCGCCGCGCTGGCCGGCTTGGCCAACTCCCGCCCGGGGCCCGCGTGGGCCAACCCAGGAGGAGCCCAACAACGAATCGATGCGTCGAGTCGGCGATCGAAGTGAATCGAATCGGCGGAAATCGGCAGCGGAGCCGTGAGAAAGTCTATTCGGCAGAGATCGGCCGGCTAGTAGGCCTCCGTCGTTGAGAAATCGGATCCCAAATCGGAATCCAAAGTCGAAATCGAATCGGAATCGGAAGCCATCGAAATCGAATCGAATGGAATCGGAGGAATCGAAACGATCCCTGGGGGGGAGAGCCGCCTTGGCCAGCTCCCGAAGGTGGTACACCACGCTCCTGCGCTCGGCGATCAGGTCGAAGTTGCGCGTAAAGAACTCGGCGTACTTGACCAGGGGGTGGTTCGGCCTGGCCGCGCAAGCTGCCGCAAGCACGGGCCCCGCGCCGCCCTGCCCTCGCCATCGCTACTCGGACGTCCATACCCCGCGCATTCTGAGGTCTCGGGTGTATGCTTTTTTTGTGATATGATCAAATGTGCTCCCAGATGGTCCTCGCCGGAACAGGTGCACACGTCCAAGCGAAGCCTGCCTCGCGCCTGCCTGGCGGAGAAGGGGGAGGGGCAACAGGAGCGCCCCAAAGGGCCTCAGGCACGGCCCCGTGCCAATGCCCCTCCGGAGGTGCACAGGGCAGCCCGAGGACGGCCCCGGGGAAGCCCCCAGCACGATCAAGAAGAGCCCAAGACGGCCCAGGAAGGCCCCTCAAACCAACGAGCAACCGAGATGGGTGCACTCGCCAACCCTTGGCGGACCTACGCCCCTCTGAAAGGAGGCCCTCAGTGCAGGAGACGGGGGCTTGTTCCAACAAGCTGTCCAAGATCCAAATGAAGGCATGGCAATTCTACTGAAGGTACCGCAAAAGGAGAAGATCGGATATTCCGATCTGAACCAGTCTCCGATACGAAGCAGTCTCCACGATGGCCTTCCATGCACGAGCAACGAGACGGAGACTCCGGGAGGGGATGGGAGAGGGGGGAGAATGAGGAGGAGAGGGAGGACGAGGAGGAGAAGGACAAGGAGGAGGAGAAGGAGGAGGCTGAACAAGGATGAACAAAATATCAACTTCAAAATTCAAGGCGCTCACCCGCAATCTTTCCACCCTCTTCGCAGCATCAGTCTAAGGGCCAATGCCACATATACCCTCCCCGCCCCAGATCCTGACGGGTAACACGCACAATCCTGGAAACCCAAGGACGGCGCTGGTGCCGGCGTTGCGGCGGTACTGGCGACGTCGATGGCGTCAATGAAGACGCCGCCGCTGGACGTCACCAGACCTGCGACGTGCTCGTTTCCTCGAACTTGGAACTCGGGAACGCCCGCGCCAATATTTCGCTCGTCGATACGAACACCGCCGCCGGCGACGCCACCAGACCTTCGACGCCCTCGTCTTCCCGAAGGTGGAGCTCAAGCTCCGCAACCAATCTCTGTCGCGTGGACTTGGCGCCGCAAGGTCGGCCTTTTCAGGCTCCTGGGCCTCAGAAATTTGGACGCCAGAGCTGGGCACGATGCCCGAACACCGAGCAACACGTGTTGTCCCAAACCGACTGCGACCGAGGTGGGCCAGGCGGCCTCCTGTTTCAAATAGACCACGTCCGCGGCGACACCGACAGCGAGTCTCGTTGAAAACCGGCAAGAACTGCTGTCGGTCTTCGTGCATATTCTCTGCGTACCCATCTCGTACGTGCCGAGAGAGGCGCCTCGGGACGCCACGCATAAAAAAGCGGCTCTCCTGATTGTCCAGGACGCCCAAAGTCTGGGTTGCTGACGCCAGTTGGCTCCTTCCGCCCTGAACCACCCGCACACGCGGGTGCCTGGTGACGGTCATGTCCTCGAGGCCCATGGGCCCCCGGACCTGCTCGCGTGCCTCGCCGGCCAGAGAGCACCCCTTGCGCCTGTTGCTGCTTCTGATATCGCTCCGTCTCATCGTTTTCCTGACTCCTTCCCCTCCTCTTCCGCCCTCTTGCGCCCTCTTCCGCCTCCTCCTCCTCCTCCTCCTCCTCCTCCTCCTCCTCCTCCTCTACTTCCTCCTCCTCCTCCCGCTCCTCCTCCTCCTCCTCCTCCTCCTCCTACTCCTCCTCCTCCTCCTCCTCCTAATCCTCCTCCTCCTCCTCCTCCCTCCAGCTGCTCCTACTCTTCCTCCTCCTCCTCCTCCTCCTCTTCCACCCTTTCCTGCTCCCCCTCATCTTCCTAATTATTATCCTCATCCTCCTACTCCTGCTCCTTCTCTATGGTGCTCACTAACGAAAGGCAATGAACAGAGAGGTGACGAGGCGCGCGCCCTTCGTGCGCATCTTGGACACGCGGTGGCAACTTCGGAGCTTATCAAAGCCTTCATTGGGGACGCTTACCGGCAGCCCTCGATTCCGCTTATGGCCCCCCGCTACGCCCGTCCGACCCTGGCTTCGACTGCACGAAGGAGTGAAACTGGGCAAGAGTGACCTCTGGTGCGCGGCTTCAGGGGGCCGCAGGGGAGGCCAAATACAGGAGCGCCAGCCAGTGCTGGCGGGACCACTGTGGGCCCGCACCTCAGGCCACGCCGGCGAAACCTTTCTGCTTTCGCGACACCAAGAGGAACGGATACCGCCACCAGAAATTTCCTCGCGAATCCAGCGGTGGCGACGAGGGCCTCCCAGAAGGCCAAAAAAGGGAAAACGAGGCGAAGGGATGGACTAGTGGTAGGGGCAGCGCTTCCTCCTCTGAGCGGGACCCCTTGTGGGCCCGCGCAGGGATCGACCTAAACAGTGTGTTTCGTTTTCGTTTCGTTTTCGTTTTCCATCGTTTCGTTTTCAATCCGCATTTACTGCCAAAGCGAAGTCGAAACGAAAACGGCCCACGAAATCGCAAAACAAACAACAGCTCAGGTCGAGCCCTGGGCACGCCTGGCACGGCCACTCCGGCGCAAGGCTACCGGCTGCTCTTGCGCGTGGCCGATGGCCGCGCCAGGATCGGGCCGCAGAGGCTGCCGAGGGGGCAGGCCGTGCTGGGCCATGGCCCCCCCGCGCCGGGAGGACCAGGCGGCATGGCGCACGCGCGGGCGCTGGCCGGACGGGCGGGCGCCTCTGATTGGTGGAGGTGTCCGACAGTACCAGTCGGGCTGCTGAAACAAGGAGCGATGGCTGAGGAACGAGAGAGCGCGCCCACAGCGCCGGAGCAAAGGGGGGCGGAGTCCCCCCTGAGCTGCCCCCCCTTCCCTTCCACCTCCCCTGATGGAAGCCCCCCTCCCCCCACACTCCCCCCCCTTTTTCGCCTCCCCCCTGAAGCTACCCCCACCCTCCCCCCCTTTCACCACTCCGAAGCTACCCCCCCTCCCCCCCTTTCCAAAGGGAGGGGGGGCTTAGCTACCCCCCCCGCTCCTCTTGACCCACCCCTCTGCCGGAAGCTCCCCCCCCCCTTCCCCCCTTTTCTTCCAAAGGGGGGGCTAGAGAACAGGCCACGGAAGGACCTAAGGAGCGTCGAGCCCCGGTTCATCATTGCAACGTCTTGACAGTTTTTCCCTCCGCAGCGCAACCAGAGCTGCACACAGCTTTGATTTCACACGCTCGCGAAGCCCTCGAGTTGTGCGAAGCCGTCATTTCCGCCACTTGACTTTGGAACAACAAAGGAACCTGCATGGACAAAACTCTGTGGAGGTCCGCGCGGATTTCTCGGAGCGGCGCTGGGCCCCCTCAGTGGCGCGCGGAGCGCGCCAGGGGCGGCGCCGGATGCGCCGCAAGGGGCGGGGCCCAGCGCAGATCCAACAAGTCCACGCGGAGATCCGAAAGTTTTACTCCCGCCACTATTTGTCTCTCCCTCGACACCCGACCTCTGTGATGGGCGTGTTTTCCACCACCACCATTATAAGTTGGAGGGGTGGGGTCCTCCTCCTCCTCCTCCTCGCCCTCCTCCTCGCCCTCCTCCTCGCCCTTCTCCTCCTTCCGCCCTCCAACTTATAATGGTGGTGGTGGAAAACAGGCTCATCACTCTGGGCGGAGGTGGTTTAAGGCGTTTCCTCTTCCATCCTCCCCCTTTCCCCCCCCATCGGGGAGGGGCCCACTGCTCCTTATGAAAACACACACCCTCCCCCACTTGGCCTGGGGCAAATACGGAATCATGACCACTCCCACCATCGCTGATAAAAAGCCGTACAACGTGCACTCTGCGGCAAACTCTTCCTCACTCGCGGGCGCGACAAACTCCTCACTCGCGGGCACCAGGGGATAACTTCGCATTGTTGTTTGCAGGGGCCAAGGGGTTGCCAGCATATTACCAGCTAGGTCCACGCGGCGCACATCCCGTGGCGTCGCGCACCTGGCTGGCGTCTGCAGTGGTTCCCGATGATTGTCGATAGCGCCCCTGACAATGCTGACACTCGGGAGCTACGTGTGGCGGGAGGGCGGGTGGGAGTGAACGAAACGGCCGCCCTTCGGGAGTGTCATTCGACAACCCCCCCCTGCCCCCTGCTCCTGGGTCGAAGGGGGGGGGATGCTGTCGCGAGCGGTCAGGGCGTCCAAGATGGCCTCAACGAGAAAGCACAACCCATCACTTGTCCTAAGGAATTTGGGCCAGTGCTGACCTCCCAGGGGGGGCGGTGCTACTCCGCGCCGCCCCCCGTTGTTGTTGTTTTACTCGCTGGCCTCGAAGATGGCCCTAAGACGGCCCACAAGTCCCCAAGAGAACCCCGAGTGGCCTCGGAGAGGCGCCCAAGCGGCATCTAAGAGGTCCCAAGACGCCTCTAAGATGCTCCCAAGAGCAGGCAAAGAGGTCCCGAAGACGCCCCAAGAGGCCTCTATGAGGCCCTGAGAGACACCCTAAAAGCCAAGGAAGCATGCAAACGACATCTGGCCCTCTGAGGCTCCCCGAGGAGGTATTCCGATGATGCCACGCTCTGCCGATAATGGCAACACCCCTGGGCCTCGTTCCCCGATGGTTTGGTGGGGATATGCGTCCGTGCGAGGGCTCACACAGCCGGCACTCCCGACGCGGTAACAAGCCAAGGCCGCAGAGGAGGTAAATGCCTCAGAATATCGCACGGTGGAGGCAGTCGAGACAACGTTCACAGGGAACACGAGCAAGAGGAGGAGGAGGAGGAGGAGGAGGAGGAGGAGGAGGAGGAGGAAAAGGAGGAGGAGGAGGAAGAGGAGGAGGAGGAGGCAGAAGAACCAGCAGGGGGAAGAGAGGAAACACAGCGAAGGAACACGAGGCGCAGAGAAGGCGGAAGAGGAAAGCACCTGCACTGGAAAGTGCGTGCCAGCGCGGGCCCCAGATAACGTTTTATTGTCAACTGGATGCGCGTGGTATTCCGTGTCATCCGCCGCCCCCTGGGGTGTCATCGGCGCGTCGGACAAATGTCGGCCACACGCAAGAGTGACCCTAGGCAAAGGGGGACAATTTGTGTGCGGCTTTCGGGGGGGGGGCGGAGGGGCCAAACCAGAGCGCGCCACTGCTGTCGCATCGCTTTCGGCGATCGGGGAGCACCAGTTGGCCCGCACAAAAGGTCCCTCCGGCGAAGGGTCTCTCTTACGTGTAGTCGAAACTGCCGTTCGCCAATTACTTCTCCCAAAAGCCCAACTCAGTCCATTTGAAAGTGCTGGGCCAGGGTGGTCACACCAAACCCATAGGGGGTCCCCGGCGGCCTCCGATAGAAGAAGACCCCCCCAAGTACAAGCACTGTCGGTTAGGGAATATCCTAGAACTGGTGGCAAGTCGGACACATATATCAATCATGCACGATCAATAGCACGTCTTCCATCTTGTCATCAACTTCTCTGTCGGCCAGCCTGTCGAACGGCAGTCCTCTATCCCGCTGGCAGCCCTCTGGAGCAATGCCAATATCTATACATTTGTAGATGGACACACCTATTATATACTTATGTACGTATGGATATGCATGTACGTGTATATACATATTGCAAATGTACGTAACTGAAGTCACACACATATATATGTACGTATGTATGTGTATATGCATACAGATGCATCTATATGTACATAAGCATAGGCATGTCTATATATATATATATATATGTCATGCGTGTATGAGCGTATGTTCCCCATCGGCCTCACAGACCATATAAAAAACACAGGAACACCTTTTCACATCCTCATGATTCGGGCGTGGTACTTGAGGATGGCGCCTCATTTCCCAATGACGAAGAGCAGGAGGGAGGGGAGGACTTCAAAGTGTGATTGGGAGACCGAGCTAACGGGAGGTACGGCGACCCCGAGCCCCGACTTTCTGGGAGATCCGACCGGACGTACCGTTTCGGACCAAACTCGAGGATATACGCTGGGGGTAGTCCCATCCTCGATAAGTGGACGTGCGAACAGGCCTCCTCGTGGTGTATCCCCGAGCTCCCCTTCCTCTTCGTGAGCGGCCAGCTTTTGGGGGAGAAACTCAGGAATGAGGGGGGGGGGGCGAGAACTCGCCTGCGATGATGACCACCTCGTACCATGCCGCTGGAACGCAGCTCGCAGTGCATCGGGACCCAGCCCGAGAGCCTCGGAATCTGCGGTCAGACCTCGTCCACGGCTTCCACAGCTCGGGTCTTGACAAAGTAGTGGCAGTCATGCGCCCCACATGCGGGCGGGGTGCGTGGGCTTCAGGCTTCTACGACGCCAGGAATCGATGCACCTCCCTTAGCCCATCAGAGCAGCGTGGCGCTTGAATGTTTCTGTCGCTGACTTCTACGGGAACTGCTTCTGTCGCTGTCGACGCCAAATTCCGCAATTGCGGGCAAAAGTGAGGGGGGTCCCAGGCAGACTTGCGGGGGGCCGCGGGGCTCGAGCGCCAATGAAACGAAAACTACCGCAGACGCCAAACAGCCGGCCAGCGGCAGCGGTATGCACCGCAGGCAACTTTTCGCAACTCAATGCGAGTGGATCGGGTCATCGACAGGTCGCGAGGCTCGGAAGTCAATTTGAAAAAGACTGGCCGCAGGCATCAACGTTTTTGACACGATGAGGCCGTCGTAGGCGGGTGCGGGGCGGGGTGCGGGTCACGAATGCAGGTGCAGGTGGGTCGTGGGTGGGCCACGGGTGGGTCGCGCGCGGGTCGCGCGGGTTGTGTGGTGGGTCGCGGGGTACGTGACAAGATGGGTCGCGGCGTCGCGCGCGGGGTGGGCCGTGGGTGGCTCGCAGGGCGGGCGTCGACGACACAAACTAACAGAAACGACCACCTGCACCGCAAAGCCCCACCTCGGACGCGCACCCGGGGACGGTGCAAGACAGCTCGCGCCCCGCCTTTGGACTCCACCGCACAGTGCCCCAAGCCACGCACACAATGACGGTGTGAGGCGAGCTGCTCACTGCTCAGCTGTCTGGTGGGCTGCTCCGCAAGGCGCCCTGCTCTCTCTCTCTCTCTCTCTCTCTCCTCTCCAGGTCGCTCTGGCTGGTGCAGTGCCCGCTCCCCGCGCGCCTCGACGCCCATGGTCACCAGCGGAATGAGAGCGTTGTCCGCTGACCTGGCCGAGGCTGGAGCTGAACAGTGTTTCTCGTGGCCGTGTTTTTTGTTGTTTCTCCTCGCTCTGTCTTCGCTCCACCTTGGCTGCAGAACGAAACCAAAACGAGAACGGTCCACGAGCCCCCGCCAAAACAGCGCTTCGCTCGAGCCCTGGACCTGACCACGTCAGCCTGGCGGACCACGAACCACTCGCGCGCGACGAACTCCTGGGGGGGGCGCGGCCGAGCAGGTGAATCCAACGGCCATCGGGGACTGACAGGGGGCCCTCCACGGGAATGGGTATGGGCGCGACGAGAACCAAATGGCAAGCAAGATAGCTGGGTAACGCAAGCAGGGACTCCCCATCCCCCGCTTTTCTCTCTTCATCCGTCTCCTCACTGGAGCAGGACGTCCCCTGGCAGCGCACAGGTTGAGCCCATGTATCTGCACTTCGGCCGAAGGTCAGGACAGACGGCATCGCAAGGCTCTAACACATCCTCCCTTCTTCGTGGTCCTGATTAGGGAGCCATGGGGGCTGTGTTGCAATAGTGCCTCGTAGAGGCTCAAGTGCGCGCCCATATAAATCGACGGACACACGCATGCGCCTGCTACGATACGCTCCCCAACTTGACGTGCAGGAAGATTAAGGGGGGAGGAGCTCGGCATGGGAATGTGTATACGTTAATTGTGCGATGGGGTCAAGCCAGCCACAAACACATCCTGCAAGATCACACCCACTTGACCATCCAACTCTCGTGTCACGACCTCCTCACCAAGATCACCTCGCGCGTGCGTGGCGGGTGATCCTTCCGTCCGTTCTCCTCCTCGAAGAAATCGAGGGCACTCTTCTGGGGCGCGCCAGCGGGGAAAGTGACGAGGCCGGCAAGAGAAACAGAGCCGAACCAGACATGCGAAGGGCACTGCAGTGTGCAGAGGAGCCACACCAGGGAAGCGAGGTGGGTCTACACATGCCCGACGATCATCTCGTCGCGGCCATCCAGCGGCACTTGGACCCTGTGCACTTCCAGAAGAAAAGCGCACGAGGGCCGAGAGAGGAGCCAAGGAGGGGCGATGCAGGAGGAGGACGAGGACACGCACAGGCAGGAGTAGCTGGAGGGAGGAGCACTTGCAGAAGCAGCACAGCAGCAGGGCAGCAACACAAGCGTAGTCGAGGTGGCAGCCCCCAACCCCCTGGGCCAACATCGATGTGAGCAGGATGAGCAATCACATTCAGAGGCTATGCTCCTGTTATCCTGCTCCTCCTTCCTGCTGCTCCTCCCCAAACCTGGTCGAGGAGGCCACCTGCGGACAGAATCGTCAATGGATAGGTAGCAAGCGTGCAAAAGACGCAAGACCTGAAATGCGAGGCTGCGCAACTAAAACGTAACAGGGGCGTAACAGGACATAACGCTGTGCCTGATACGAGCTTCGATTCGTAAGACAGGATCAAGCCTAGAGACTGCCTAAAACGACGTCCAACAACGTGTCGCTGCATGTCCGTAGAACGAAGGCAGAAGGAACACAGGATCAAGCACGAACACTTCCCACGAGGTTTCTCTAAGCAGCGCGTTGGCCGATCCCCGGCCTGTCAGCAGACCAGCGCGGTTGCAGCGGCGCGAAGGGGGGTAGGAAGGCGCACCATACCGATCACAGGCTGCTCGCAGCTGCCCATGGAGAGCTCCTGGCGGAGCCGACCGCATGGACACGACATCACCAGGAGAAGCAGAATGACAATGGGCAAGGATAAACGGCATCACCACCAGGGGCAAGAGACAGGCAAGGTCTTCGTGAGTTGCCCTCCTCCCTGTTTCACAAGCGTCCCGCTCGAGGTATCTCTAATCCCCCAATCGGGGATGCATAATGGACCTCCTCGCTGGAGGTGACCAGCTGATTATGGTAATGGTATCATTGTTCCCTCCCTCCGCAAAGATGAGGTGGGAACAAGGACTCATGGACGTACCGCACGGCGGACAAATGGCTTACTATGTAGCAACATGTACCTCCTTCTCATGCTCCCTTCCTCCCTCCGCCGGGAAACACCGAAAGGCTCAAACCCCATTCAAACCAATCGCACGACCCCAAATGCTATTCTACCGAAGAGAGGGTGGGGAGAACAGGAGAAGCGGTGGTAGCTTGAGGAGGGCCTGGGGACATGGGGAATGAAAAGGATGAGAAGGAACAAGAGCGGGAGCAGTAGGCCCACGAAGACTCAGTGAATGGGGAAGGGGCGGCGAGGGGGAACTGGAGTTGGAAGAGGAAGACTGTCAAACTCCTTAAGGTGGTAGTCGGCCTGAAACAACACCTCGCCCACGCTGGTGCCTGCCACCCCGAAAAAAAGGCGAGGAGGATGCGGGCGGAGGGCGAGGAAGAGCGAGGGCATGGGAGGGGGACCAGGGGGAGAGAAGCCGAGATAAGCAGAAGCAGGAAGAGAGGTACGACGAGCTCGAGGACAATAATCACACTGCTTCCAGCCAAAGTTTCGCTCGCAACAGGCATGCAAAACTGCGGAGGGAGAAACAACAACTTGGAGTGCGCCCGAACCCCGCAGAAATCAATCGGCATCGTCAGACTCCGCCGGCTGTGGGGCAGCGATGAGCGGTAGTCGTCTTCCCCCTCACGGAGGGCTCCAACCACCTGTAGAAGTTGCCGCCTACAATCGAGCACGGAGGAGGTCGTGCTGGCCTCACTCGCGGCAGAAAGCGCTGCTGGGGGGCCTCCCACACGTACAGCGCCGCTCCCGCCCTCCACAACAGCTGCATGCCCAGAGGTGACTGACTGGAGCGAGCTGCCCGAACATAAGATGTCGAAACGCAGCACACGATCGTCAATGTCGACCGTAACCCGATCATTGAGCTTGCAGTGCTGGTGATGCCGACCTTTGCAGTAGGGCTAGCCAGCCATGGTGCGCAGCGCGGAAGGAGGGGGGATGCATTTGATCGCGAGGCCCCTGACAGAGCCGCCCGAGCCGTGGCACTTGCAACTCGAACAGATAGACAGATCGGTGAGAGCAGTCGAACGCCACCGTGCGATGGCTGAGGGCGTCTTGGCGCGAGGCGTGCAGCTTGAAATATTTGGGATAGCAGCCTGCGGGAGGCCTGGAAATGGAACGCTTGTCGCGAAGACAACCCGAACACCCACACACCCGACCACCAAAACTTATCGGTGTCCTGCGTGAGAGAAGGGATGGGTCGAACATTCTCTGTCTGCTTCACTGAGGTAAACGTTCCGCCACAAATGCAAAATGCCTGCGCAACCAGATTCAAGGTGGCCCGAGCTCCCGCAACGTTGGAATTTGCGGCAAAAAGGAGGTCATAGTCGTTCGGGTGTAGGTTAACAGCATGCCTAGAATCTACATCCGCCCAGTAGTTGCCCTGCCGCAGCCACTTCTCGTGAGAGGCGATCCCGACTCTATCGCGATCTCGATGGGCGGCGACCTTCACACGAACACAAGGAACGAAGACGTGGCCGTAACACCTCGAATATGCACACGGAAACATTCGTTTGGGCGAGAGCTGTTCTGGCTAGGCACATTACTGCAATCAGAATTGTCGGTAGCCTGATCAGACCCTGCAGACAACACAATAGCCCATAAGAACCCGCTGAACTCGGCCCCTTGGGGGTCCTGGGGTAAGGGACCCAAACAAAGGTCCTAAACTCTGCCCTCGGCTCGCCTGGAGGGCCAACCATACAAACACAGCTGGCAGCCCTAGACAACTCATTGGCCGCATTCTTAGAGCATTGGCCGTCGATGAAGAGCGCTCCCCAAGAACCCACCCCCACCCCACATCATCGCGGATGCCGCCCCACTACCGCAACAGCATGCACGCCGCGTGAGCAGGACCAGCACAAAGGCTAGGAACTTGCGCCGTCTTGGGCTCGATTGCTCAACTGGTGAGGAAACCTCAAAGCGAAAGGGGACATCTCGGAGCCACCAAAAGACTCATTAGGATGCCCTCGAAAAGCCCCGACCATTCACAAACGCATACGGGCCTTCAGTGCCATTCTCAATGAAAAGACGGCGATGATTTGCGCTGCCTCTCTGAAGCCAGAAGAAACCGAATATTGGCGCCCTCTTGAACCACTCGTGGGGGCTCCATTGGGCAATCTTCAAGTGACGTTGGGGCCCCAGAGCACCAGAGGCCCATCAGAAGCGCAACACCTTAGGCTGAAGACGGATTTGAACATCTTGGGGGCATCCTTGAGAAGCTCCTTGACCACTTGGAGCCGTGCTGGGGCCGTATAGAAGCGTATTTGAGGCATGTTGGAGATAATATTGAGCCGTCTTGTTCTATCTTGGAGATGTTGGGCTATCTTGGAGAGGGTCTGTAAGAGGCCGGGTGCGTTCTCAAAAAAAACGCCCCAGGTGATGAGTGCGCTGACATGGGCCGCGGCAGGGAGGATGAGGGCGCGGAAGAGTCAGGTGAGGGACAGGTTGCAGGGCGCGCGATCCTGTTGTTTTAAGTCAAAGCCCCAACAACACCGGAAGGTTAGGAAAACATGAGGACGGCTGGGGGCGCTGAGACGGAACAAGCACGACGACACGCTCAGGGAGTCGGACGAGAACGATGACTGGGACGAACAGTGTACGTGGACAGGGGGCGGGAGACGCCCCTCAAAGACCCATGCCACCTGCAAGCCACTCGGGGTCGAAGCGCTTGGACTGCATTAGCCCGTCGTCCACACAGTTGCCGAGCGGATCCAACGAGAAAAACGGCTCCTGATCGCTCGGGACAAGAGCAACTTAAGTCAAGGAGAGAAAGCTGAACGGCCCCACTGCAATGAATACAGGCTACGGCGGCGGTGACTACACATTCTCCAACACATTGCATCATGCTCCGAAGACTACACCATCCCAATAACTGAGTGATGGCGATCACGCTGGCGATGACGACGAATAGCGGGGGGGGGCACGACAAGCTCATACTACATAATCTTGCACGGCGTTCGGAGTCTCCACTAGTGAACGCGACCCGGCGATCCAACCCTGCAGCATAAAACCACATCGTCAAGCGTGGTGTCGGATGCGCATGGCTACGCAATTGATCGACAACCTAGAAGGGCTGACAGTGGAATATCACGGGGAGGCAGTGTATACATATATATATATATACACACACCTACATATATATACAGGGGGGTGGCCCGGTGGGTTCCCCATTCGGCCTGAAGATGAAGACTCTATTTGAAGACTCTACTGTGTTGGAGACTTTATTTGAAGACTCTATTCGCCTGACGCTCGATGACGCCTGTGACGCCTCTATTCTGGCTGACGCCTCTATTGGCCTGACGCCCGATGACGCCTCTGACGCCTCTATTCGTCTGACGCCTTTATTCGCTCGGCGCCGTATTTGCCCTGTCGTTCCTATGCGCCAGACGATCGCTGACAGCCGTGACGCCTCTATTCGGTGTGACGCCTCTATTCGGCTGACGCCCGCTGACGCTCCTGACGCCTCTATTCTGCCTGACGCCTCTATTCGCCTGAAGACCGATGACGCTCGTGACGCCTCTATTCCTCTGACGCCTTTATTCGGCTGACGCTCGATGACGCCTGTGACGCCTCTATTCTGGCTGACGCCTCTATTCGGCTGACGCTCGCTGACGCTCCTGACGCCTCTATTCTGTCTGACGCCTCTATTCGCCTGAAGACCGATGACGCCCGTGACGCCTCTATTCCTCTGAAGCCTTTATTCGGCTGACGCCCTCCCGGGACCATTAATATCCAAAATTGCAAAAAAACACTAGAAATCATTAAAATACAGCCAAAATCACAAAAAAAACAGTGAAAATCACCAAAATAATCCAAACATGCAAAAAAACACTAGCATTTCCGCGGCGGGGGATCTCCCGTGGAGAATCTGGCCCCGATTCCCCACCAGAGACCATTCGCCGCGGACGGGGCCCGACATCATGCTCAACGGGATCTCCCGGGGCGGGTTTTCGAAGGGGCCCGACACCATGTGAAATCCAAGGCTCGACATCATGCCAAACGGGATCTCCTGGGACCATTACTACCCAAAACTGCAAAAAAACATTAGAAATCATTAAAATATAGGCAAAATCACAAAAAAAAAACACTGAAAATCACCAACATATACTCAAAATTGTAAAAAAAAACACTAGCATTGTCCGCGGCGGGGGGTCTCCCGTGGAGAATCTGGCCCCGATTCCCCACCAGAGACCATCCGCCGCGGACGGGGCCCGACACCATGCCAAACGGGACCTCCCGGGGCGGGTTTTCGAAGGGGCCCGACACCATGTGAAATTCAAGGCCCGACATCATGCCAAACGGGATCTCCCGGGACCATTACTACCCAAAACTGCAAAAAAACACTAGAAATCATTAAAATATAATTAAAATCACAAAAAAAAAAACATTGACAATCATCAATACATACCCAAAACTGCAAACAAACATTAGCACTGTCCGCGGCGGGGGGTCTCCCGTGGAGAGTCTGGCCCCGATTCCCCACCAGAGACCATCCGCCGCGGACGGGGCCCGACACCATGCCAAACGGGACCTCCCGGGGCGGGTTTTCGAAGGGGCCCGACATCATGTCAAATCCAAGGCCCGACACCATGCCAAACGGGTTTTCCCGGGACCATTAGTATCCAAAAATGCAAAAAAACATTAGAAATCATTAAAATATATTCAAAATCACAAAAAAAACAAAACATTGAAAATCACCAAAATATACCCAAAACTGCAAAAAAACACCAGCACTGTCCGCGGCGGGGGGTCTCCCGTGGAGAATCTGGCCCCGATTCCCCACCAGAGACCATCTGCCGCGGACGGGGCCCGACACCATGCCAAATGGGATCTCCCGGGGCGGGTTTTCGAAGGGGTTCGACATCATGTCAAATCTAAGGCCCGACACCATATCAAACGGGATCTCCCGGGATCATTATTACCCAAAACTGCAAAAAAAACAATAGCCCTGTCCGCGACGGGGGGTCTCCCGTGGAGAATCTGGCCCCGCTTCCCCACCAGAGACCATCCGCCGCGGACGGGGCCCGACACCATGCCAAACGGGACCTCCCGGGGCGGGTTTTCGAAGGGGCCCGACAACATGTCAAATCCAAGGCCCGACACCACGCCAAACGGGACCTCCCGGGACCACTACTACCCAAAACTGCAAAAAAAACACTAGAAATCATTAAAATAAAGCGAAAATCACAACAACAAACACTGAAAATCATGAAAATATACCCAAAACTGTAAACAAACATTAGTACTGTCCGCGGCGGGGGGTCTCCCGTGGAGAATCTGGCCTCGATTCTCCACCAGAGACCATCCGCCGCGGACGGGGCCCGAAACCATGCAAAACGGGATCTCCCGGGGCCCGACACCATGTCAAATCCAAGGCCCGACACCAAGTCAAACGGGACCTCCCGGGACCATTACTACCCAAAACTGCAAAAAAATCAGAAATCATTAAAATAAAGCCAAAATCACAACAACAAAAAAAAAAAAAAACATTGAACATAATCAAAATATACCCAAAACTGCAAAAAAACACTGGTCCTGTCCGCGGCGGGGGGTCTCCCGTGGAGAATCTGGCCCCGATTCCCCACCGCGCCTGTCATAGGCCTGTCAACAGGCTTGCCCACGGCATTGGCACCAAACTTGTCAACGGGCCTGCCACCAGTGCTGTCAACAAGCTTGTCAACGGGCCTGTCAACGGATCTGTCAACGGCGCCGTCAACGGCGCTGTCAATGGCGCTGTCCATACGCTTGCCAGCGGTGGTGTTAACGGAGCTCTGAATAGCGCTGTCACCAGGTCTGACACTCGCGCAGTCGTCAGGCCTGCCCACGGCACTGTCAACAAGCTTGTCAACGGGCCTGTCACCAGTGCTGTCAACAAGCTTATCAATGGGCCTGTCAACGGATCTGTCAACGGCGCTGTCAACGGCGCTGTCAATGGCACTGTCCATACGTCTGTCAATAGTGCTGTCAACGGATTTGTCAATAGCGCTGCCACCGGCGCTGTCAACACGCTTGTCATCAGTGCTGTCAACAGATCCGTCAACGGCGCTGTCAACGGATCTGTCCATGGATCTGTCAATGGATCTGTCAATGGATCCGTCGCGGACGGGGCCCGACACCATGCCAAACAGGACCTCCCGGGGCGGGTTTTCGAAGGGGCTCGACACCATGTCAAATCCAAGGCCCGACACCATGCCAAACGGGACCTCCCGGGACCATTACTACCCAAAACTGCAAAAAAACCAACAGAAATCATTCAAATATAGCCAAACTCATAAAAAAACACTGAAAATCACCAAAATATACCCAAAACTGCAAAAAAAACACCAGCACTGTCCGCGGCGGGGGGTCTCCCGTGGAGAATCTGGCCTCGATTCCCCACCAGAGACCATCCGCCGCGGACGGGGCCCGACACCATGCCAAACGGGACCTCCCGGGGCGGGTTTTCGAAGGGGCTCGACACCATGTCAAATCCAAGGCCCGACACCATGCCAAACGGGATCTCCCGGGACCATTACTACCCAAAACTGCAAAAAAACACTAGAAATCATGAAATTATAGCCAAAATCACAACAAAAAACACTGAAAATCACCAAGATATACCCAAAACTGCAAAAAAACACCAGCACTGTCCGCGGCGGGGGGTCTCCCGTGGAGAATCTGGCCCCGATTCCCCACCAGAGAGCATCCGCCGCGGACGGGGCTTGACACCATGCTAAACGGGACCTCCCGGGGCGGGTTTTCGAAGGGGCTCGACATCATGTCAAATCCAAGGCCCGACACCATGGCAAACGGGACCTCCCGGGAACATTACTACCCAAAACTGCAACAAAAAAAAAAACTAGAAATCATTAAAATATACCCAAATCTGCAAAAAAACACCAGCACTGTCCGCGGCGGGGGGTCTCCCGTGGAGAATCTGGCCCCGATTCCCCACCAGAGACCATCCGCCGCGGACGGGGCCCGACACCATGCCAAACGGGACCTCCCGGGCCGGGTTTTCGAAGGGGCCCGACACCATGTCAAATCTAAGGCCCGACACCATTTCAAACGACCATTACTACCTAAAACTGCAAAAAAAGAACAGAAATCATTAAAATATAGCCAATATTTTTTTTTTTTATTATTAATAAAAAAAAAAAAAAAAAAAAAAAAAAAAAAAAAAAAAAAAAAGCAAAAAAAAACACCAGCACTGTCCGCGGCGGGGGGTCTCCCGTGGAGAATCTGGCCCCGATTCCCCACCAGAGACCATCCGCCGCGGACGGGGCCCGACACCATGACAAACGGGACCTCCCGGGGCGGGTTTTCGAAGGGGCCCGACACCATGTCAAATCCAAGGCCCGACACCATGCCAAACGGGACCTCCCGGGACCATTACTACCCAAAACTGCAAAAAAAAACAACAGAAATCATTAAAATATAGCCAAAATCAAAAAAAAAAAAAAAAAAAAAAAAAAAAAAAAAAAAAAAAAAATGAAAATTATCAAAATATACCCAAAACTGCAAAAAAACACCAGCACTGTCCGCGGCGGGGGGTCTCCCGTGGAGAATCTGGCCCCGATTCCCCACCAGAGAGCATCCGCCGCGGACGGGGCTTGACACCATGCTAAACGGGACCTCCCGGGGCGGGTTTTCGAAGGGGCTCGACATCATGTCAAATCCAAGGCCCGACACCATGGCAAACGGGACCTCCCGGGAACATTACTACCCAAAATTGCAAAAAAAAACAACAG